TAGTATACACATACATAAATAATTATTTAACAGAATTTTTGTTTTGAAAAAATTAAAAATTTTTTTTTTGTAAATTTCAAAATCTAATAAATTTTTCCTTGCAAAATTTTTGCATATTATCGTAAAAATTCCGCGTTGGATTTAAGATTTCTGTGTATGCGGTTACTGTTTTTTATAAATAATATTTTGTTTGTATTTTTTTTTATTTTATAAATTTTTTTAAACAAAATTTTTTTTTGGAAAAAATTTCAAATTTTATTTTAATTTCAATTTTATATTTTTTTGTAGAAATTTTGCATATTATCGAAAAAATTACGTTTTAGGTTTAAGCTTTCTGTGTATGTGGTTATTGTCTTTTATAAATAATATTTTAGTAATAAATAAAAAATTATAAACTTTATATTTTACTAAATTTAAATTATTAAAACCAAATATTTATAACTGAAGTGCTAAAATCAAATCGAAAACGCTCTTCGAGTAAAGAAGATACCTCAAACCCAGCTCATTTCACTTCACAAAATTCAAAACAGCCTAAAAGTAGGCAATCTTTTTTTGCAACCCTCGAAATTTTTTCTCTAAACAATAGTACACATTAGCCGTGGCAATTAGCGTTTACTTTAAAAAACAAGAAATAATTAAGGATTACAGCTGCTACTATTTATCACTGCATACTTTCGTGCGCCAAACTTTTGTAAAGTCTCGCAAAATGTATTAATGATGTGTCACCTCAATACTTTAACGGTAAAACAAAGACAAAGGAAGCAAGCTACCAAAAAAAATATAACGTTTGTTTGTAACCAAATACGCCTAAAATCACACTTGCCAAATTTCACAAACAAACCTTTTTGCGCTGCAAACTTTCGTTTGCTCCTGCCAAACAACGCGCGTAAAATTAATATTTTACAAAAAACAACAGCAATAAACATAAACCATATTAATTTGTAAATAATGCCATAAATAATGTTTCACACTCACAGTAAACGTAAGTCGAGGCTAAAAGGGTTTTTATAATTAAAAAGTTGTGGGTCAAGCAACGAAGCAAAAGAAATAGCGGCAAAGTGAGACCAAAACAAATTTAATAAAGAAAATTGCGAAGAAATGTGACGCAGCGGAGCGTAAGAAAGCTTTTGGTCTACTATTTTAAGGTTTTCTAAAAGTAGCCTAAAAGTATGCAATCAGTTTAGGGATTTTAATTAAGTGAACCTGAGATATTGTCGGCAGGTTTCCTTAATGGAAATGGATTTTTACCTTATTTCAGACATTTTTAGTCAAAACAAATCAAAATAAAAAAAACAAATTTAGAAAATTTTACAAAAAAAATACAAACTATACAAAAATAAAAATTTATAAATTTTTTTTTTTAATTACGTTAACTTACAAATACAAATATATTTAAAAAATTTTTTATGAAAAGTAATATTTTTAAATAATTATTTTAATTTTTTTTAATAACTGTATTTTTTTTGAATTTATAAAACTTTTTTTCGATAAGGCTGGATTTCAATAGTGACCTTCAGGTGCGTATACCTTCAAGACGTGAATGGAGGAGGTTTTGTAGTATTATAATAGAAGAGAATATAGTAAGCTTTTCAAAGTTTGCACACAATTTTGCATCGATTTAGATGGATTTACAAATGAGTAGTTTTAGAAAACAAAATTAAATTCTCTAAACCGAATTTAAAAACCATTTTGCATTTATCTTAGCACATTTAATCGAAATTTATCAACGAGACGAGATTGAACGCTCTCATGCCACGCAGTTGCCCGAAAGCAAAAGCAATGCACTTTGGCAGCTCATATCTCATATTACAAAAATTATGCACTGGATATGCAAAGCCATACCCCACTGGAGCATCCATAACGTTCGAATAAATTGGAAGCGATTCGCCTCATCATTTATTGAAAGTTGAACGTGGACACCGCAGTGCGTCTGCACGCAGGGCGTTGAGCCCCGAATGGAAGTACCGTGCAAGACGAGCGCCCTTTTTGAAATTTGACAATACACTGTGTGCTGCAAAAGTACGCAGATGCATATAAAGCGGTTAAGAACTGCTTTAGTGGGTATATGTACGTGTATGAAAATTAAAATTGTATTAATTTATAAAAAATTAAATACTAAGTTAAAGCTTATAAGTAAATTGCATATTTCAAAATTTAAAATTATTTTTTATTTACAAAAATATTTAACATACTTTATATTTAATATACTAAAATGAAAAATTTATGAATATGTAAAAAGTGTAGATTCTAAAAAATACATTTTACACGTAAAAACTTCTTAATTATTTTTCTCTTCCTTAATTCCAAGAAAATAAATATTAAATTTTTGAGAATGTTCTTTGCATAAAAATATTGAATATTTTATAAAAAAAAGTTCTGTTATTTATTTACAAAAAACTATTAATATAGATATTTTTAGGAAAAATTTTAAAAAACAACTTCAATTTTTGAAAAAAATTAATTGTTTTTACTTTCTAATAACCAGAAAATTTTTCTTAACAAATTTTTTTTAACCATATTATTTTTTAAGAATATAAACATTTGATGAAAAACAAGATTTTGTGAATCTTTTGCATTAAAAAAAACATTTAAGATACAATACAACAAACCAATTTTCTCTCTACAAACAGCTTTTCCCAAGAGAAAACTTAAATAGTTCGACTGAGCAAATATTGTATTACAAAACTTACCAATAAAAATTATTTAACTTAATTTTCGATTCAATTCGCACATATGAAACTTGACCTACTTTATATATTTAACGTTTTAATTTAATTTCGAATGTATTTATTAATTTGGGCCGAATCCCGGTGGTACTGCAATACCGGGCCAACCCGCGGCAGAGGTGGAGCAAGCCCCTAAAACACTCCGCCCATTTCCAAAAATCAGTTTAACATTTGTTGTCCTCCGATGGAGGATCTATCAGATGTTAAGCTGATAAGAACAGATACTACACTTTGATCTTAGCCTTGAGGCCGAGAAGCGATAACTAAACAGTGCCAAAAAGTTACTTTATCTATAAAATTCTTTATAAATGCGCTGAGAATTGCCAACGCTTACTAAATAGCGACTGAAATATTTCTATACGTGCTTCTTGCGTATACAAGATACTTTATCAGCTAGTGTGCGCGCCAGCAAACCGAAGGCAACGAAAGCGAATGCGGCAAAGATTGGGAATTAATTAGGTAGGTATGTACTTATGTACATATAAGTATGTATTTACAGCCAAGACCGGTTTGGTTATGCGCAGGGCAGGCAGGTAGTGGAATTCGTGCGAATGTATCTTTCAAACAAGTATTAATATATGTACATATAAGTATCTACTGCCTACAGGCGTGGTCAAAGTTCAGTGGATGCCTATACAGAAAAATTCAAAAGTGTCTCTAAAAGCACAGTATATTTCTATAGAAATACTTGTTCATATGTATTCATTTGAACAATATTTCCAACTTTTAAATTAACAAAAAAAAAAAAGAAAAAACGTTAACTTTGGTCGCACCGAAGCTATAATACCCTTCACAAGTACAAAGGCTCCTTTCCATACAAGCACTTCATTCCGATCGTTTAGTTTCTGTGGCAGCTAAGTATATGCTATGGTGGTCCGCTATCGGCAGTTCAGACAAATGAACATATTCTCGGTTGGTAAGAAACGTATGCAAAATTTGCGATCGATATCTCAAAAACTCAGGGACTAGTTCGCGTATATACAGACAGCCGAACATGCTGAAATTGACTCAGCTCGTTATGCTGATCATTTATATATACATTTTATGGGGTCACCGACATTTCCTTCTAGGTCTTACAAACTGGCAAACTTAATATACCCTGTAAAAATGTTTGCAAAACTAGGCCTACTAAAGGAGAAAATACCGAAGCATCTACGCTGGAAGAACTTTTTAGCTGCAGCTGCAGAAACATATCGTAAATTACTTGCTAATGCCTAAAAGTATAATTTCTCCGTCAAATTATAGTAACAATTGAATACAATTCAGTATTTGCACAACTGTACTAAAATTTTTGTCATCCACTGTAAGCAGTATACGAATATGAATCACTCTCGGTATATATGTACATAAACTAAAATCTGAAATACACATAATGATTGTATGATTATGTATGTTAATTTAGCTGAGCTAAATCTTTCGGGATTTCGGGATCAAAATCGGGATTCTTCATATATGCACATATGAGATAGGAGATAGAAAATACATACGTTTTTATTAGATATATGTATATGTTTATATTCTGTAAACCTAGTATAATAACAAATTTAGCGTAGTTAATGCATTTCGGGACTAAAATCTCGGGATTCAGCATTTTAACGAAAATTGCAATTTGCTTGATAATTTTTCGTTATTAAAATATGAAAGTGTTGAGTTTTATCTATTTGGGGAATCGGAATTAGAAGATTTCTGAGATCCGTTGTTAGGATATATCAGTTATCAAAAAATGTAATTTAATTGATTAAGATTTGGGGTATCGTGTATGAAAGAAAACTTTTAAAGCGATTAAACTGAGAGTGTTCTTACTTGTATTTTGTTTGGGATGGGAACCTATTATGACACCTTTCATCGCGAAATCAAGAGTATATACATATATAAATACATATAATCTCTTTTTCGGGATGCAAAACTAAAAAGCACAGCAAGAAAACAGTGTTTGGGATCGAATTCTAATACTTACTAAATTGAGAATTCTGTTTTAGTAGATATTCTCTTTTTCTTTTACATTTTATTTTGATTATTATGAGTAATTCTTCAACTCAGTTCTACGTAAACAAATTTTCAAAGAATTTAGAAGCTAAGATGATATGAATTTTGATGTGAACTATAAATTTTAAGAAATCTCGAAACAAAATAATAAAATCCCGAAATTTCGGGACTCACACCACTACTTTATATGCACTCTATTTCTCGTACAACGCTTAGAACCAGTTTTCCGTGCAGATTTTTACAACAAACCAAGGGCCGTGGTAACTGTATATGCGCAGGCTAAATTTTCTTGCTTCCAAATACTTGAACTTCTCTGACGATTTCCAAGAAGTTGCATATAAAAGCCAAGGACGTGACTTGTCCAGTTATTGTTGGTTCGGTTTAGGCACAGTTTACATCTTATGCAAGCTGCTTAAGAATTTTTTAATTTTAACCCGTTAGGTAGAGTTTCTTTAAATTAAAGTGGTAAGTGTACTTCGACGAATGGTAAAAATACAAAAACCATTTTATATATTTATAAATTTTTTATGTGTCAGTTTAAACTGGATAGGTAGGGAAAATAAATTGTTCGCTGAAATCAGCTGAAACTAAAAAGTGCGTAGCTGACGCACTAAATTTTTAAAAATATGCAATAAAGATTATGACATTTTTAAAGAAAAATAGCTTTAACATTTTTTTGCTGCTGAAATATAATTTATTTTATTTTCCTTGTCGAAAAATTATTAGCAAAAATGCTTATTCAAAGAAAAACAAAAACTGAATTATAAACAGATTTCGTCTTAAAAAAATATATAAGTAATTCTAAAATTGAAAAAAAAAAAATGGTATGACAGATGAGTTTCGAACCACGAATCTACCGCATGGCAGCTCAAAGCTCTACACCACAGGCTACTGAAGCATCAACATTTATATTAGCTATGGTATAGTTTTGTTGGGGTGTAATTATTTTCTTGATAGCTCAGCATAATATAAGGAAATATTTGTCATATCGAATGCCCTAGGTTCGAACCCCAATGAAATGGTGTTTTTTATTTTAATAACTCGTTAAAATATACTTTTATGGAAAGATTTTTAAATTTTAGCAATAATAACGTAAACATTAAATATAAAATTAATTTCGAATATTTTATGAAATTTTCTACTACATACCTCAAAAGCTGTGTTGCAACATGGTATCATCACTAGATAGCTTCATGTAGGCAGTTGAAGAAAACAAAAAATTGCAATTTTAATAAAAGGAGAAAAAAGATTTACAATAAATTTAAAAAATATATATAATACATACAATATTATACAAACTATTAAGGTTATGTAAGAATACGTATTTCCCCCGTTTTGTAAATGAATACCACGTACTACACGTCTACATTGCATACATATTTACGCAATGTGCACTTTTTAGTGTCCAATTTGTATGCAGTAAGCTTTAATATATGCTCATGACTGACTCCTACAAAACTTTATCTTCTCACGTAGAATATGAGAATTTCCCCTATTTGCACTGAAAAATTTCTAAACTGAGGTATTTTCATTTTTTCGGGTGCATATTCATACCTTGACTGGGCAATAATAAAAATTCCTTAAAACTTTTTATCCGAAGATTGTGGAGTAATTTTTCACGAAAATTTAAATAATCGATGACGCATATTATTTTGGTAACCTAGAGTTGCTTTCAGAAGTTTTAGGTTCTATATATCCTCGCTCAAACCACTGAGGTGTAAAAATTTATATATTTTTTTCTAAATTGTTTCTATACGAAACTGATATACTAAAATTTCGTTTTACTTAAACTTTTTCAAACAACCCGAATTTGACTATTTAATATATGTTGTGTAAGTTCGCTTAATTATTTCGAAATAACTTTTTCAAACTTATATTGTATTCATAATGTCGGGACGGCGCGAACGCCATTCCCGGCTACCAAAAATTACACGCACGAGTTATTCGCATTAGGAATAATCGCGAAGGTCAACTCAGCCGAAGTGCAATGACCAAGCCTCGCTCCGGAGGAACCGCCTTCATGATCACGGTAACCTCTACGCCAGGTAAGTATGCTTAACGCCCCTCACAGCTAACTACTTAAGCTGCTTAGCACACAAAACGTTTGAGAAGTATACGACGTAACGGCAAAGCAGAAAGCAATGAACGAAAACAAACAGTCTAACGCAAATACACAATTCACACTTTCTTGTTCGTACACAGCCATTATGTACATACAGAGTTGAGATTTATAAATAAAAGTGGTTGTTGCTGCTTTGTGTTTCATCAGTCAGCTACTGAGTGCCTGCTTTGCAAGCATTTGGTTGTTGCTACATGCGGTCGTAGTGCGGCCATATGATAAAGTGTTATTGTTGATACATAAGTAGTTATTGTTCTTATTACGAAAAGAAGCCGTTATTAATTTCTTGACATGAGTACATACATACGAATACATAGATATGTACATATATTTACTTGAGAAAACGACATTCGAGAAGCAGTTAGTGGGAGTGTATTTGTGAAACCTACGACGATTTTTCGCACTAATTTTCTTAATCAGTTTGTCACACAAATAATACAAATACGTTACGTTATACAGAAGAACGAAGAAATGCGAGCATACTAAGAATGTCGACCTCTAGCACTTTACAGCCATACCGAACTACTAGTGACAGTTTGTTGTACAAGGGGTGACACACGATTTACAAGTTTGAGATAATGAGACCGAAGAGGATTTCCTGAAAAGCCTTATGCTTTAAAATGAATTATTTTCAAGATGGGAATGGAAACTGAACTCTAAACAGTGACGATACGCTGAAATTGCTACTAGATGTTCTAAGGATGCTTCCAATGGACACATATTGCTATGAGCACTTGAGGTTTGCGCAGTCTTTTCAGAACTTTAGATGGCCGTCACTGAACATGGACCATCAATTCGTTAAATACCTTCAAATTCTCTGGGCCGAATCTCAGACCTTTCATCAGGATTTTCTCCTAAATATTGAAAATGTTGGAGAGATTGATTAACCTGCATAGATGGAATAGCATTCCGAGTGATCTATTCACAGGCCTTAGTAAATTAAGTCAGCGACCTTACCTTACACATCATTAAAGTATGGCTAGAGAACTATGTATAAGGAATTGGCAGTGGGAGTCTTCCTGAATATCGTTTGGTAATTGACTAAGCTGACGGCGTTCCTCTCATGGTTAAAAGTAAATTTCTGGACACCGTACAAGAGAGAATCTTGCGTAATTAGGTCGTAACTATGTTAACTCTCAGAATTACAAACTTTGCGATTATCGAATAAACTGCAAAACTTAACTAGATGTATCCTTGAACCTAACGGGGCACACTACTTCAAATTGAATTAAACTAGGTAGCTGACTGACAAATACATATATACATACATAGGTTGAAGTTATTTAAATAATCAGCCTGAGACTAATAAGTCATCTTCTTTTAAATTATCACAAGCATAGCTTAAGGCGTACAAACGATTGCACATTCAAAACGTGACCCTGTAGAAAGACAAATTTTTGCGGTGGCCACAAAATTAGCCACAACCTAGAAGCAGAAAATACAATGCCTGCTGTCATTGACGCGCCTAACTGTAGGCAACACTACACAACAAGTGAAAGTAAACTTCTAGTGGTCATTGAAGAGCAGGCTCAGACGTGTTTATGTGTACCCAGTACAAATCAACTTGCTGGCGCAAAATTTCGAAAGGCTTAAAACTAGTCAACTGTACAGAACTATATGCGCCTACAGCTATGCTACAACCTTGTAAGGCAGCTAGATTGCTACAGCAAACTGCCGACCGAGACAAAAAGTATGAAATAAAACTGACTGACGACGACGGTCAGAGATGCTGAAGACTTAGCTTTCTCTAGAGCACGATGATTAAGTGTTGGTGGGCGGTACTTTTGTGATAGTGTTTGTGGAATTTGTAAGCAACTGATTAGCTAGAGACGAGTTAGCAGAGTAGTGGTAAGCGGACACTGCAGAAATGTAAACAAAACATCATAACCAACGACAATAGAATGACAACTAGAACAACAAGCTGTCGGTTCACTATGCCTTATAACCTGCTGGTTCCCCCTTCGACACTTGTTTTCATGCTTTTTGTTTACAAACAGCAAGTCTCATTCTTCTTTCCGACTACATTTATATTTCTCCGTGTCACATATTCATACACCGACAGTAAGCTGAGCTGCGTCATACGGATAATTATAACACCGCACAGAGGACAGGGCCACGCATTTATCTGAGCGAAAACACACCTGTAGGAAAGCACAGGTAATGAGCTAGGTTCATAAACTCATCGGTGAAGAGTGTTGGACAGCTCTTTTTAAAAAATATGTTTGAAGCTACGAACTCACTAGTTCTAGTAAAATTGTTTTTGGAGGTCGTTTGGTGAACTGTAGCCGTTAACTCGAAGTTTTTGAGAAAAAAGGAGAGAAAACTTTGTAGCATGCGACCCACCCAATCGTAACCGGACGGATCAAAATTGCTAATGGTGTGGGCGCCGGGATCTTTTGCACGGAGCCAAAACTCAGGCGA